GCATCATATGTTCTTCAAATGTTAATTTTGCACAACCTTAGAATTGTATAAGAGCGTAGATTTGCTTAGATAAGCAGCTAAAGGCATAAACACCTTTGAGCAGGTACCTTCAAGAATTTGAATCATTAGCTTGCTAACGATAAGATGACCTGAAAATTGAGTCGAATTTGGAGCACCTACAGATGATTTGCAAGAATGCTGGACTTGAAAAGTCCTTAGGAAATGCAAACAAAAGATTTAACAGTAAAATTTCTTGAAATGAAAGAGGAATTGTGACGCTTTCAAGAAAAATTATTTTAGATTTAGAATGTTGGCTAAATATTCTCAAGGAGTCAACTTAAATTTTCTTGCTATTGATTTCGGAAAGAGATGAGTAGTCTCAGAACTTTTAGAGGGGGGGGGGGGTGGAGGTTCTAAGGCAGCTTGGGGGGAGGGGGGGGGGGGGGAGCACTCACTGTAGAAAACATGGCTCCGGGAAGAGTTGAGAAAGGGGAGGCAAATCCTCAAAGAGCTCAGATAGCAAAACGCTATACAAAATTCGAGTATGTAGATTGCAAAAAATGCAAAACTCCATAAACCAGAAAGCTACACATTCTTTTGTTCCACAATAACTTTGCAAGAAACACCTTTTTATAATGATTTCCAAATATAGTTGAGAACCTCTGATGGGTTCCCACAGGTAACTGCATCGAGTCCATTTTAATCCATTAATCAAAAACTCTTTTAAAACTTTCATCAATGATTAGCATTTTTCATTCCCAACAAGTGCCGCCGAAATTGTTATTAGCAGATCTATTTTGTTTTACTTCACATTTCAAGCTTCTCTATCCCTACCATGGAGTGTTTAATTTGGAGTGCACCGTAAGTTTTTCATAAAAGTCAGATATTTCAGAAAAATGTCGCAGTCACCAATATTTCATTCCTCGAGCGCCAAATTTGTTTCCTCATTCTAAGACAGTTGCGCCAAATCTTAATCGATAGAGCTATCCTGCAATCTAATTTCTCTGCTAAATTACCTCAGCAAGAAAATCCAAGTTTTCCAAATTTCTTCAATGCTTCACAAATGTTTTTTTCTCAAACAAACTGCACTATATCTCTTTTTGGAAATTTCTCGCAAACATTTCTATTTACTTTGGACAATCTCTGTGTTTTTTTTCGAATAAGCACTTCGTTTGAAATGCCCATGTCATTCAAAAAGTTGTCAGATTTAGCAGAATAGTTGCAGTCTTTAGTATTTCAACTGTTTTACTTCTCACAATTATCGGAGCTGATCTGCTCACTCGATAGCAACTTTACTCTGTGTTTCTTTTAGCGGTAATTCAAGCACAGTTTAGATCGCGCAAGATTTTGTTGGACCGGGCGTCACGTTGTCTTTCCCTAGAAAACATTGCTGATTGTGTGCAAGAGATCAGTGAATGATATGAACTCTCAAATCGGATGTTTAGCATCTCTGAAATTTGTGACATGCCCAAGAGGTAATCACAAACGTCATTCAATTTGCAGACGTCTACTACTAGACCGTGCCAAAGAGTGCATTTTAGTCCATCATATTTTACTGTGGGCCTCAAATAACTGAAAACTTTAAAAGCTTTCATACATTTTGCATACTTTTGAAATGTTTTTGTGAGTATTTTTCCTACAGTCAGTGTATGAGATATCTCCTTCCAAAGTTCTAATGCACTTTGGAAGCTGTAAACAGTCTATCCGAAATCCTACTATTCATGCATCATATGTTCTTCAAATGTTAATTTTGCACAACCTTAGAATTGTATAAGAGCGTAGATTTGCTTAGATAAGCAGCTAAAGGCATAAACACCTTTGAGCAGGTACCTTCAAGAATTTGAATCATTAGCTTGCTAACGATAAGATGACCTGAAAATTGAGTCGAATTTGGAGCACCTACAGATGATTTGCAAGAATGCTGGACTTGAAAAGTCCTTAGGAAATGCAAACAAAAGATTTAACAGTAAAATTTCTTGAAATGAAAGAGGAATTGTGACGCTTTCAAGAAAAATTATTTTAGATTTAGAATGTTGGCTAAATATTCTCAAGGAGTCAACTTAAATTTTCTTGCTATTGATTTCGGAAAGAGATGAGTAGTCTCAGAACTTTTAGAGGGGGGGGGGGTGGAGGTTCTAAGGCAGCTTGGGGGGAGGGAGGGGGAGCACTCACTGTAGAAAACATGGCTCCGGGAAGAGTTGAGAAAGGGGAGGCAAATCCTCAAAGAGCTCAGATAGCAAAACGCTATACAAAATTCGAGTATCTTAAAGCAAAGGACGGAGCGGTGCGGCTAGAAAAAGCTGGGAGAGAGCAGTCATGATAGGTTCGCTACGAATCTTTGAAAGTTCCAAGTTTTAGTCACATCCCACTTCACACACACAGCCAGTCCAAAGCGCCGCGAAGCGGCGCTTTGGACTGGTATTAAATAAATGGTAATGCATATTTTTCTTTTCTAAGGCATGTCTCAGATAGAGCAAGTCTCGGACTATGCGTTCTCTACTCGGGAAGTCCATTTCTCCCCTCTACCTTTTTTGAGAATTTTTTTTCGAAAGGAGGTCAATATTGGCCTCTGGCATGTGGTGTCTCAAATTCATCACATCATATTTATTTAGTAAAAATTGACTCAATCGACGAAATAGTCTCCATTATTACATTTACTCCATCTCTCAGGTAGGCACCGAATTCCATCCTCATAAAATGATTTTGGCAGGCTGTCGAAAAACTCGTCAAGTAAGTTGCAGATGTCTTCGATCTTTTTGAATTTCTTTCCCCTCAGCTTGTGCTCCATGGAGCGGAATAAAGGGAAGTCTGACGGAGCAATATCTGGGCTGTAAGGGGGGTGCGATAAAATTCTCCAACCCAATCCAGCTATTGTTTGCGTCGCGATTGTAGCCACGTGCGGCCTTGCATTGTCGTGCAACAAGACTGCGCTGTTTCCTCCATGAAGGGATAAACTTCGTTTTTCTTTGATTGCAATCGCAAGACGCTCCAGTTGCCGAGCATAAAGCTCTGATGTCACGGTCTCGTGGGCTCGAGTAATTCGTAATGCAGGATACCCCTACAATCCCACCAGATGCATAGCATGGATTTTTTTAAAGAAAGCTCTCGTTTCGAAACGAATTCGGGCATCTGATGGGGGTCACACCAGGACTTCTTTCTATCAGGACTCTCGTGGTAAATCCATTTCTCATCTCCCGTTACTATTTTCCAAAAAAATCTTTTTTTCTTGAATTTTTCGAGAAGGGAAGCGCAGATATTCAGGTGCTGCAGTTTGTTCCCATCGCTCAAGACATGGGGGACCCACTTCCCTACTTTTGAATTTTGCCCATTTCAGTCAATCTCTCGAGATGGTTGTCTTGCCTACTTCCAGCGTTGCTGCAAGCTCTCGTAATGTCCGTTTTGGATCCTCATCCAGAAACGCTTGAATTTCTGACTCTTCCACGGCTTTCGTTCTTCCTTCTCTGGGCTTGTCTTCCAACTCAAATCCCCACTTTTAAACCTCACGTACCATCGTCGAACAAGTCTTTCGTTAACGGCATTTTTCCATACACGTTGCAAATGTTTCGAGTAGCATCAGCGGCCGTTTCCTTGGTGAAGTTCGTACAAAATGCAATGGCGCAGATGCATCTTTTGAGCTTCGAACGAACTTCAGTCTCTACAGAATGTTCTTTTCCAACTTTTCAAGCTATTCTTTTGAAGTTTGTAACGTACCCTTACTAGCCCGAAGAGAACTGTGAATTTTCGAAGTTTCTAAGTGGACTTGCGACTCAACAGATGAATTTTTGTGCTAACTACACCAAAGAAAAGGGTTTTGGAAAAAAATTTTAATTTTCAAAATGGCTACTAGGGAAATCTAGCTATAGCAGTTTGTAGTCCGCGATTTGGCCTATCTGATAGGCATTTGAAACTAGCCAGTTATGCGATAGTGCTTTCTCAAAAAATGCTCAAATTTGGACCATGCAAAAATAGGGTGTTGAGTGTTTTGCTAATTATTCCAGTGTTCGTACATCATACCACCCTATAAACGTAGCTGTTAGAATGAGGAGAACAAGACGCATCGAATGCGTCCAAGCTTGTTCGTCGATGTTCAATCCCTGTATTTTGGTGGCCTTTTAAAAAAAACGGACAAAACTTTCGGGGCAACCTAATAGTTATTCGTCCTCTCCTTCAAGATCGAGATTTGAATCCATACTAAACTGTTGGTTTCTCAGCTGTGAGCGAGATGTCACTCGACGGACTGGGGTTGCTTTTTTTTCTGAATTTTCTGAAGTTCCTGCTGGTGTGTGTTTGAGTTGCAGTTTTCGAGAGGAAACTTCAGCCATTGTCGAACTATGAGAATAGAATTTTAGTCTATTCATATGGACTGTTCGTTGGAACGATCCATCGAGATTACAGAGAGTAGCATTCGAGCGAGAGACAGATACAACTATAAAAGGATCTTTCCATTGGTTTGTGATTTTGGGACGAATTGTATTGTTACGTAATAATAATAAATCACCATTGGAAATGACCTTTGGAAACACTTTATTATGAAAATCGTAACCTGACTTGTAGATTGCGGATTTTGTTTCCAACTTTCACGGTCGTTGTTTGTCGGTCGACGAAACTATCTGTCGCGTATGAAATCCTGGATGGAAGTTGGAGGATTACGTCGATCAAGTAATTGGGTGGCGACCATATGCAACGAAATATGAACTATATTCAGTGTATCATTGATACTGGTGTTGTATGCAAAAACAATGGTTGGAGGAAATCAAACCAATATTCTTTTGCATCTGCCCAGTAGGAGGTTAGACCGTCTATGATGACCTTAGCCATTCTTTCCACTTGTCTATTGTCAGGATAAAGGCTGGCCTTGCCCTTACCAGATGTGTAGCGGGTATATACATAGGACTAATATTAACAATAATTAATATTTATTGTTTAGTATAAATACAGGAAAAGAGGGAAACGGGGGAAGTGGTGGCAAAGTGCAATCTGTTGGAAGAGGTCGTCGCGGGTCACTGTCCTCCAGCGGGATTTACAACTCGCCCAAAGAGGAGGGACAGCTGTGATGGACCCGACGGCTTGCGATGACCAGTCTGGAATATATGCACAGTTGATCCTACAAAATTTAGCATCGTCTCAAAAACTTACGAAACTTGGATAAGGATCTTGATATACAATCACGCTAAACGCTAGAGAGATAAAAACGTTATCCTTGGAAGGACCTATCCTCTAAATTAATACAATCCCTCCATTTTCTTCTCGTTCATTTCGTTGAGGGATAGGAGTTTATTCTCGTTTCGATGGATCTGAAAAACTCAAACAGGAGAATTATGCTAGCATGTTTCATTGAAACAACACGAACAATTCGAACTGTCAAAAAATCACAGCAAAACATTGGATCTATCTACTTCATCACCATCAGATGATAAAGGAAAATTCGGACTAAACATTTATCACCAAAATATAACAATGATTTCGAGCCAAAAATATACGGAATAAAGCAAGACCTTAACAATGATGAATAGTGTGACTTACGGGAGACCAGTGGCGTACCCAGGATTTCGGCTCGGGGGGGGGGGGGGGGCGCGACAAAAAATTTTTCTAAAGAAGGTACGTGGCGTTAGCCACGCACTCCGAAAAAATTTTTGGGGTGCTTTTCAAAACTTTTGCGGGTCCCCGACCCCTAAAGTCTGGAAAAAGGGGGCGTGGCGTTAGCCACGCCCCCGAAAAAAAATTTTTTACAAGGCTAATTTGATTTTTTAAAAATTTTTAAAAATTATTTTAATTATTTACAAAAATAAACAAGTCACTTGCACATTTTTATAACCCACATAAGTAACTTTCAAAAATTTCGCGACCCATTCTCGGGGGGGGGGCGCGCGCCCCCCCCCGCCCCCCCCCCCCCTCGGTACGCCACTGCGGGAGACATATATGCAATGAACAAAGACCGGAAGTAGTAGCTAAGAGGACCAAAAGCAAAATGTCAAAAACCACTACAACAAAGATGATATACGTCAACGCATATCAAAGTGATAAACATAGGAGTATATGAAATAAGGAAGTGCAACCTGTAATAATAGTGTCCCTAAGATGTATGAAGGAATTACACTTTCTGAACATGAGCAGTGATAAACAATACAACTAATGATAATGATGAGAATACAACCAAACAGTAGAACACAGAAGCTTAGAACAGCAGTATTTTAAACCTAAAACCTATGAGTACTATAAACAGTGATAATACATGAAGAGATAACTCTCGAAATCTTTGACGTAGAGGTATAATGTTGAAAATCAAACTTCTGCTCAAAAACGTAATTTAACGCAAGCAGAAAAGGTATTTGACTACCTGACAAAATTCAGAAGCCAGCCTTCCAGCGATAGCAGGCCCTGAACGGTCCACAAACTTTTCGAAAAATCATCCTTGAAAAATCCGCTTTCATAAATTCTTTAAAAAAAGATATTCACATTACAAAATTTTCCATGTTGCACGCGATAATAATTGTATATGGAACTCAGATGATTTCCTCTACGCTGCTCAGGAACGGCACCACAACGACTATTTGCTCCACGATTACATCCTCGCGCTTAACAAGACGAGCATATTCATCATTATCCTGACGCGATAATCGTTCGATGAATAGTTTAACTAGTGGTGCTCAGAATCTGCTCGACCACGATTACTGCCGTGTCCTGTGTAAGCACGTACATGAACAAACTAAAAGGAGTTAGACATTTCAAAGGCATTTTAAGATACCAAATCTACATTAAATTCGCGTTTACGTTATAACACGAACTGTCATGACGGTGCACTCAATTACTACAATATTCCTATTACGATGACTGTCATTCCTCCACTCCTCCGAAGACACGGTCTTCGATCTTCGTCCTTCTGTTCGTAGACGAGGAAAACACAGTATTTATTCAAGAGGAAGTGATAAGGATTAGCAAATAACAACGGCGACAAGCTTGGACTGAACATGACAATGGCTAAAAGTGAAGCATTTTGTGGCGAGCGCTTATTTCGCGCGCATAGTGACAATGCTATCGTGCGATTGCAGATCACACGTTGACTATTGAAAGTTGCTCAGTCACTAACTCATCACAATCATGTCGCTTGAAATCGCCTGTTCCACAAGCTCGAAATGTTACACAATCTCCGAACTATGAAGTTGAAACATGTCTGAGTAAAACTTCGCACGTACACATTCAGAGCGGGGCGAGTGCATTGTCGGTTACTGCCCATTAACGCCATGATGTTGTTAATTGGAGCCGGGAGACAGGACAACTACGCATGCTGGTTACAAATCTAAAACAAAATCCTAATAACAAACTTTGGATTTTTTGCAAACTACAATTTACAGTGAAAAAAGTTCATGCAGATGGGTGGGCGAGTAGATTACAAATAGGATAACTCCTTGTGTTGATACATAATACCTTTAGTAATATTCGATCTCTTGCAAATTTTGACTTGACGATAAAATTAGATACAGGCAGGGAGTGAGGGGGGGGAGGGGGGTAAGGAGCTGCTGAGTTCAAAATATTGGATAAAGAACCGTGCAACGGGCAGATCAGTGGACTTTTCTTTGAAAATTCATTCATCCAGCGATGATGTACAGGTGATCTTTGAAATGACCTTCACGCTAACAGACAAGGCACCTCCTTCGCAGATACCGATTGCTAAAGCTCTCATTTGTTTAATATGATAAATACAAATATAACGGTACATAATATATACTGCTCTTAAATCACATGGATAACCGACTATTTACTCTGCTACTTATAAGAAAATTAGATTGGACTCTGGTGCCGCGAATGAACAGCCAGTTTAGTCTACCACACCTCTCCTAACCTATTAAGTGAAATTAGTTCACACAAAGATTTATCCCAAATCCCAAATACGAAGAAACTAACATCGCGACAATAAGATCTACGACACTGGACACGTGCCATCGCCACGCACGTGATAACACACATCGTTCACGTTGATCACCTCGATCATGCGCATCAGAAGAAGAACGCACTTCACTCTGTAAAAATTGGGACTCAAGGACAACCATCAAAATCCAAGAAATCCATAGAAGCGCACAGGATGCACTGAAAATGATGGTGATTATATAATACAAAAGAGACTTATGGCAGACCCTCGGGCAAAGCCAGCCATTGTTTTCCGGCTATGAAAACACCCTTTCTAACCTGATTTCAAAAGTCAGAAAAAATCAAACGCATTGATATTTCAATATATACAACAATGATGATGAAACATAGCAACATACATTTTGAAGCGAACACGACGTTGAACGCGTTCTACGTAAAAATCTTGCAATGACCACAGATTTTCTCGCCTGGATGCTGCCTCAATCGTTTACTTCATGAGCAACAAGAGGCGAACGCCCTCCAGCTTGGAATGATTGAATTCCAAGAAGCATCAGACTGTAAAAAGGTTTATAAAACACGCCTTTACTTTTTACGGCGATATTTGCTCCAATACTTCAGCTGCTTCTACCTTAACACGCTTTGCCTGAAACATATTATACATTTTCCCTTATGTAGTCAATGTAGGCAGTGGCTCGGCAGAACTAAAGACACTGACTTCATTATCTTAGAAATGACCATAGGCCAAGTCCGAGAGTGCCGCTCCTTACCTTGCTGAGATAATTGCCTTTAAAATTCTTAGGTGCATGCCATATGGGATGAACGAGCTCGCGATTATCCGATAGTGTAAGGCGACATGCAGCAACTGGTAGCCGTAAGGGTCCAGCAATGACTCTGCGTCTCTAACCATGGTGGGAACTATTTCATTCGTCCGAGTTCGAAATGGAGGGCCTCGAAAAATGCTGTTTTTCAAACATTTTTGCCCCTTTCAAGCTTGGTTTTTATCAGCGCATCGGATAACCCCAGAAAGCAAAAAAATCCAGGCTGTGGATTCGCCAAGTTATTGCCTTTGTAAACTCCTTCATTTACAGACAAGTAAGGTGACAGACAGATTTAGAAAAAGTAAGGAGTCTAAAGAAGTAAAAATCAAAGGGAACTTTTTTCGATTTAGACTCCTTCTTTTACACCCTTATTGCTCAAAATAAATTTTGATCACTGAGCATTTTTTTGAAAACCTATGTGCCACTTAGACAATCATTCACCAAATTGCTTTGACAAGGGAACGATCCCAAATTAAGGTGGCAAAATGGCATGAGCGGCATACCTTTAGATGCGTCTTGAAGACACGCTCTCTAGAAAAAGTTATGAGCGGTCAAATGTGTGAAGTCGTTAAGGTTTCAATGTATAACGTACACTGAAACCTAACTTGGGATTGCATGATGTTGAGCGTTTCGATTTCAAAGAATGTTTACAGTCAACGTAAACACAAATAAGTATTTTTGATCGACTAATTCTTGAGGTGTGGCGCTATGTATTTGCCAAATTTGGACTTTTCATTGCTTATGGCTTTTTGCAACGAACTTTAGTTGTTTTTAAATTGTTCAAAAACACTTATCTGTGTTTCGTTCAAATGTGAGCATTCTTTGAAATTAGTACACATGATCTGATGCTAGTTATGCACTCCCAAGCTGGATTCCAAAGCAAATTATACTATACATTAAAACACCATGACTCCACATTTCTGATAGCTCATAACGTTTTCCAGAGGACGGCATCGCAGATATGGAAGGTAGATTTGGAATCAGCCCAGAAAGGCGCATCTAATGATGATAAATGGTTTATTCAGGCTTGCCACCTTAAGTTGGGATCGTTCCCTTGCAGGTGCCGCTCACAGACCGCCATTTACAAGAGAACTTCGTGATTCTATAAAACTCACTCTTAGTGCTCAAAGCGGTGCCTCAATTCTTGGATTCTAGGAATGCCCTACGTGTCGCCTACAGACCATATTACAAAGAAGATATTCTATGATCTCAAATCAAACTCATTTCCGATGCTCAAAACTTAAATTGTAGCCCAGTATTAGGAGTATTTCGCAAAAGCTTAAAACATCCTAAATGTCGCTCACAGACCATTATTTATGGCAGAGGTTTACCCGATGATCTCATAAAAAAACTCACCTTGATTTTCAAATCTTGCCCAGTCCTCGAAGACTTTCGGCGGCGAAAATAGACCAATGTTTTCTAATATACACCCTACAGTACAGACCAGTGGCGTACGGGTGGTGGAGGGGGGGGGGGGTCAGAGACCCGCAAAAAATTTGTGAAGCATCCTAAAAGTTTTCCGGAGTGCGTGACTAATGCCACGCACCTTCATAAGAAGAATTTTCTGTCCCCCTCCCCCCGAACGGAAATCCCGGGTACGCCACTGGTACAGACCTATAGCAATTTCAAAGATTTGCCTTCCCACTCATCATTCGAATATTACCCTTTAAAGCCGTGAATAGCTGGTATTTAAACCCAATATGCTATAATCCAACAACAATATGCTTGAATAGGGAATGTTAGTGTGATGAGACTGCTATAGCATGTCTACGAACTTGTAAGGACACACCCATATATAGTAAGTTTCAACTTAGTTTAGGTGAAAATTGGACTGGCAGATGTTTGCTTCGCAACGATTCGTGCCCCTTTGCAATCTGCGTCTCTTCATTCTAATCTATCTCGCTGAGCCAGTGCCGGTGCGGACGCGCTGCTCCACTTAGATGTTTCGCCTACTCCGGGTTGAAAAAGACTGTAAAAACACAAATCGGCACGATACCAGGAAATCAAAAACGACGATAGACTCACTGGCTTGCGATATTCTGGAATATATACACAATTGATCTCACGCAATTTGGCATATGATCTTACGAAATTTGGCATCGTGACAAAACTTACGAAACTTGGCTTATGATCACACGATACAACAAACACGCTAGACGCTAAAGAGATAAGAGTGCTAGTGCTTGAGTACCCCTTATCCTCTGATTTACTTGCAGTTCCTTTTTCTTTTCATTTATTTCGGTGAAAGATAGGAGTTTATTATCGCTAAGATGGATTTGAAAAACTCAAACACGAAAGTTGTCTAGCAAGTTTTATTAAAACAACACGAACAATTCAAAGCTGTCAAAAAATCAAAGCAAAACATTGGATTATCTACTTCATCACAATTGAATAATAAAGGCTCGGACCCAAACATTTGTCACCAAAATATGATATTGATTTCGACATTCAAGAGCAGTATGTATATATATACGTTATATTCGCATTTATCATATTTTTCAGACGGCATTTAGCATTCGGCATCCGCGAAGGAGGTATCTGTTAGCGTGGAGCTCATAATCTCGAAGATTCACCTGTACATCGTCATACTGGATATTCAATGAGTGAATTTTTAAAGGATAACGGGCTCCCCTACCCGGTTCTGCCCTGTTCTTCCAATAATGTTTTAAACTCAGCATGCTCGCTTGCAACTACCTTCATCACACTCCCTCCCTATACCTAATGTTATCAAGTCGTCAGAATTTGCGAGAAGTCAATTGTCTTTAAAAGTAATGTGTAAACAGGAGTTATCCCATCTGTAATCGGATTACTCGCCCACCCATCTGCCTAAACTCCTACCACCGGTTTTCAGTTTGTAAAAATCGAACAAAGTTGATGATAATTGGGATTTTTCCATTATATCATGCTTAATTGCCCTACTTTCATGCGCTTCAACATCATGGAGTTAACGGGCAGTCGACAACGTACTCGCCCCGCTCTGAATACGTATTTGCCAAATTTTGTTGGTATGTTTCAACTTTATAGTTCGGAGGTCGTGTGGCAATTCATGCCCGGTGAAAGAGGCAATTTTAGGCGACATGATTGTGCCGGATCAACCGTCAGTTGTCATAGTGTGATCTGCAATTGCAACATTCAATAGCACTGTCATGTCACTGTGCGAGCGAAATAAGCACCAAAGGCGCGCACTTTCAGCCATTGTCATGTTCACTCTAAGTTTGCCACCGCTGATATTTTCTATATATCATTACTTACTTCTAGATAGATGCCGTCTCCGCGGTTCAAATGGAAGGACGAAGACACCGGAGACCGTGTCCTCGAAAGAGTGGAGAACACAACAGATGTCATCGTGATAATCACTTGGCCAGGGAGTATCGTAGTAACTGAGTGCATCGTCATGATAATTATTTGAACGTAAACGCAAATTTAATATAGAATCGGCATTTAAGATGCTTTTGAAATTTCGGTATTTGTTCACTGAAGTGTTTGTATTGGACGCGGAGGTAATCGTGGTCGAGCACATTCTGAGCACCATATATAGTATTGTTCAAACTTCCATCGAACGGTTATCGCGTACGTGGTAATGGGCATATGTTCGTATGTGAAGCGCGCGGAGATATTCGCGGGGAGATAGTCGTCGTTGTGCCATTCCTGAGCAACGTAGAGCAAACTATCTAAGTTCCACATGAACAAGTATCATCGCGTGCAATTTAAGGGTGAGAATTTTCGTGATGTGAGTATTTTTCCAAAGAACTCGTAAGAACGGGTTTTCCAAGGATTTTCGAAAAAAAAACAGTTTGAGTCAAACGTCAAAAATTTCGAGGATTATCTCTTCATGTATCATCACTGCTGTGTGCTAAGTATTTTTCCATACGTACTACATAGAATACTCGAGTTTTTCGATAAACACTCTCAAACGGAACCTGGTTTGCATTTTTGGATTTTTCAAATACTTCTTTTGTCAAGGCTGTTTCTTGATAATTTTTTATTGCTTCTATCGACAGTTGATATTAACAAACCTTATAAGCTCTAAGAAGACGGCGCTTCCGTTTTGTATACTTTCGCCACTGATATCACAAGATTTTTGGATCCTACAAACCCAAACTAGAATCAAAAAAAGTTTTGTGATCCCCGTTTGGAAGCATCAAATGATGTTAACGCGTGGCTGACATTCGACATTTTACATCAGCCCCTCGACGTTTCCTCTTGGGAGGCTCTGCCCAATCTAGTGGATCAAAGTAGCCAATATTCTGGAAAGCCATGCAACTCAAAAACCGATGCAACGCGTTGCCTAGAAAAAACAAATTTCCTTTTTCGGCTTTGAGCAAACTATGCGTCCATTGTTAGGTATCTTTCTTCGACTTACTGGTCTGCTGTTGTGTTTCTGACATTTTATCATCAATTGGAATGCATGTGGCTATCATTAAACAAATGTAGGAA